TTTTTTTTTAATTTTCCCTTTTTTCCTTTTTTTTTTTTTTTTTTTTTTTTTTTTTTCCCCGCTCCTCCACCTTCCTGCAGGGAGTTAAATATTTCTTTTGTTAATTGACGCCCAAAGTGTTCCCAATCCCTTCCCCGCGCCGCCCGGGCCGGCCGAGGACGTGTGCACGCCCAGATCCGCTCGGTGAAGCAGCACAGATCCGCGGGGCCGAGCGGGTATGTGCGTGAGGAGGAGGAGGAGGTGGTGTAAAAGGAGCGACGAGCACAAAGCAGATTTGAGAGGAATCATTTAACTCCGCTGTTTGCTGTTTTTCGGGGGTTTGTTTTTTCCCTTCTCTTTCTCTCCTTTCTATCTTTTTTTTCTGCTCAGGATTTAAATGTCACTCAAAGCATCCCCAGATCAGCTTTCCGCTCGTCTCCCGTTTCTTCCGAGGCATTAATTGGATCACACGCTGCATTTGAAGAGCTCGGGTGTTTTACCCACTAAGGTAAGCGGGCTTATGCACCTACCCCGGGTCTGGATGGTCACCAAAAACCTTTCAGGGTGGTGTTTTTCTTCCCCTTGGCCCCCCTCCCCCAGCTCCGTGGCCAGGTTTCGCTCTACCTGAAGAACTCGCATCCCCGGGTTAAASAAGGGTCGATCTATGGAAAATGCGCCGGGGGGAGCGGGGCCGGGGGGGCTCCGCGCCCGCCCCTCCGGCAGCAGCCAATGACCCGCGGGAGCCGGCGGTGGCAGCCGGCGACCCCCTCGGTCCCCAGTGCCTCTGCTCCTGGAATAGCGCCTGGCATCACAGTAAGGAAAGAAACAGCCTAATCCCCTCTTACAAGAAACTATTCGTCATCATTTTTTTTTCCTCCGTGAGAAATACTGTAGGCGCCCATCTCCCTCCTCCCCCACCGCCCGCCCCCGTTGCCAGCGCCGCTCCTTTGCCCGCACCTCTCCTCGCTTCAGGCGTTTCTTTCCAGGGACTAACAAGTTAAGCTGCCCCCTCTCTCCCCCCACCTGCCCCCATACGTACGCTGTACATTCCCCTTTTTAACCTATTCTCCCTGTGCCTAATCCGAGTCCGTCCAGCCCCCCCAACCCTTAAACTGGGTTGCAAAGCCGCTGTACCCTGCAACTCCTAAAACTTCTCTTCTTGCTGTGATTTATATTCTATAATAACAAAAAGGACAACAAAAATATACTGGATCCTCCTGTGGATGACTTTTTTTTTTTTAAATAATGCATTTCCTTCTTCCCCTTTAATTTTTTTTTTTTTTTTTTTTGGCAAGGAAATTTGCTCCATCTCCAGCAGCAACCACTGCTCCTTTTGATGTTGTGGTACGCCGTGCGCATGCGCTTCACATTAGAATTACTGCACTGGCCAGAATAAGTTGGATCTCTTCTTCTCTTCACTGAAACCCTAAATCATATCAAAAGCTAAAGGGATGCTGAGAGTCCGGAAAAAGGGTTACTTTGGGATTTGGTCATTCCCTTTGATAATAGCTGCGGTGTGTGCACAGAGGTAAGTGATGAAGGTATCTCTTTTCCTTTACTTTGAATTGCAATGCATGCTGCTGCTGAGAGGGATGTGCAGCTGGGGGCTGAGAAATCAGAAATAATACAGTATTATTCTTTCTTTTTTCTTTAGTGTCAATGACCCTAGTAATATGTCACTGGTAAAAGAGACCGTGGATAGACTGCTGAAGGGCTATGATATTCGCTTGAGGCCAGATTTTGGAGGTAATTTGACTGCTTTTCAATAAGGGGTTGCATATCCGGGCTGTGTGCGTTGGGGGGGGG